TGAGACTCCTATCTCCAATAAACCACCAGAAAACCGGAAGTGGCGCTGTAGCTCAAGTGGTAGCGCGCTCGCCTTGAGCTGAAGAGCTGAGGGACAGCGCCCAGGCCCAGAGTTCAAGCCCCACGACCGACAAAAAAAAAAAAAAAAAGAAAACCCAGAAATGAACCTACAGACCTATAGCCATCTAATCTTCGATAAGGGAGCTAAAACAATAGAATGGAAGAAAGACAGCCTCTTCAGTAAATGGTGCTGGCAAAATTGGTTAACTACATGTAGAAAACTAAAGCTAGATCCTTATATATCACCCTGCACCAGAATCAACTCCAAATGGATCAAAGACCTTGAACTCAAAGCAGACACTCTGAAAACATTACAGGATGGAATAGGAGAAACCCTAGGTCTCCTTGGCTCAGGCTGAAATTTTTTGAATAGAGACCCGGAAACACAACAAATCAAAGAAAGGTTGGACAAATGGGATTGCATAAAGTTGCAGAGCTTCTGCAGGGCAAATGACATAGCTAGCAAGATCAATAGAAAGCCCACGGATTGGGAGAAGATCTTTACTAGCCATACAACGGACAAGGGTCTCATATCTAAAATATACTTGGAACTCAAAAAATTAAACCCCCCAACAACAAATCCTCAAAGAAACAACTGCCCAATAAATAAGTGGGCGAAAGACTTAAAGAGAAATTTCTCTGAAGAAGAAAGAAGGATGGCCAATAGACACATGAAGAAATGTTCAACATCCCTAGCCATAAAAGAAATGCAAATCAAAACAACATTGAGATATCACCTCACCCCAGTTAGAACGGCAAAAATCAAGAACTCTAACAACAACAGATGCTGGAGGGGATGTGGACAGAAAGGAACCTTACTTCATTGTTGGTGGGAATGTAAACTTGTTCAACCACTTTGGAAAGCAGTATGGAGGTTCCTCAAAAGACTTCACATAGAACTCCCCTATGACCCAGCAATCCCACTTTTGGGCATTTACCCAAATGTTTACAAACAAGACCACACTAAAGCTACCAGCACAACTATGTTTATTGCAGCATTATTTACCATAGCTAAGATATGGAACCAACCCAGATGCCCCTCAGTAGATGAATGGATCAAGAAAATGTGGTATATATACACAATGGAATTCTATGCCTCCATCAGAAAGAATGACATTGCCCCATTTGTTAGGAAATGGAAAGGCTTGGAAAAAATTATATTAAGTGAAGTAAGCCAGGCCCAAAGAAACATAGGTCCCATGGTTTCCCTTATTTGCAATATCTAGTATATGTATGAGTCAAGCGGAAAAGGTCAGATAATGTGATGTCAGGAAAATGAACCCTTAAATATGTATTTTAATGTTTTTTTCTTTCATGCATGTGTTTCTAACGCATTTATAAGATTATCTCTTTGTTGCTTTGTATGTCCCTCCCCCCTGCTTTCACTATATTTGATGTCAGTATAACTTGTGGAGGAGATGGGGAAAAACCAGTTGTTTAAGGATACAGGTGGACCTGTTGCAACAATGAGAAGTACAAGTTGACATGTCCAAAACGAGCTTTACAACGTCGGTGCGGGGGGGGGGGGGGGAAGGGGGGGAAGAAGAAGGATTGGGATTGGGGGGGAGGGGGGAGGCTGGGAAGGGATGTGAAGGGTAAACCAAAGGAGGAGGCTGCAATGCTTGGTAAGAAAGGTACGCATTATCCTGCCCATGTAATTGTAACCCCTCTGTACAGTATGTTCACAAATAAAATTAAATTAAATTAAAAAAAAAAAGAAAAAAATGGCAAAGAAATACATGAGGAAATGATCACCCCCAGTTGTAAAGGAAATGCAAATAAAGACAAACCGGAGATACCACCTTACCCCAGTTAGAATGGCCCACATCCTGAAGTCAGCTAACGACAAATGCTGGAGGGGATGGGGAGAAAGAGGAACTCTATTACGCTGCTGGTGGGAATGTACACTTATACAACCACTTTGGAAAGCACTCTGGAGGGTCCTCAGAAAGCTAAATATTGACTTCCCTTATGACCCAGCCATACCACTCTTAGGTATCTATCCTGAACAACAGGAACCAGTATACAAGGACACATGAACATCCATGTTTACTGCAGCACTGTTCACAATAGCCAGGATATGGAAACAACCCAGATGCCTCACCACAGATAAATGGATCCAAAAATTGGGGTATCTACACACAATGGAAAGAACATTGGACAAGACATTGGAAAGAACAAAATAATGGCATTGCCAGGTAAATGGATGGAACAAGAATAAATCATGTTGAGTGAGGTAAGCCAAGAGCAAAGAGACAAACACCACATGGTCTCCCTGATAAGTGGATACTAAATACAAAAAGTAAGGTGATACAACAAAGTTAATAAGACTTGAGAAACAAAGGACCTCCACTCATCTGGTGGTATCACTACTAAATAACCCCAGGCTGCTGATCACATATATGGTATATATGTGCACATAGGAGGGAAACTAGGAGGAGAACATAGAAGTAGAGGTAATCAAGGAACAACATACAACTGTGGAACACATCAGCTGCCCTGGACATTGATCAAAATGAACTAAGCAACTCAATGGCAGCTATGGGATGTAGGCAATGAGTGGGAAAGACTGAACAGCAGGGAACGCGAACGGAAAGGAATGTACATATTACCCGATGTGGAAGCAATAACTGCATTGTCAAAGCTCATAGAACTCAGAAACTTTATAGACCAGGATAGAAAATGTACCCCATAAAGGTTAGAATGTGTTTGTGACTTTAACTTATCATCACTAAACCACAATATTGTAAAATTTGTGAAATTATGTCATCACTTGATCAAAATAAAATTTCCCCAAAAAATTGACCAACCCACAACTAGGGTGACAAGGGGACCATGACACACAAAATGACTTAGGATCACTTAAATGGTAAGCAAGCAGGGCTCTGTCTGCTTTTAACTGAAACCCTGTCTCCTTCTAACTGAAACCCTGCCTATAGCCAGTTCTGACAGGATGGTAAGACTGGACAAGGTCGGCAGTTAAGTGTGAACAAATGTGTGCATGGTGATGAGGGAGGGGGCAATTCTGCATCCATTGAGTCCTCTGGGGAGGCCTTGTATGAGGAAGGGGCTCAGCAAGAAGGGAACTGGGGAGGGAAGCCTACGACTTTAAGATGGGGCCAACTGAACATGGAATCCTGGTAGCCAGGCAACAACATTCCAGATCAACAGCAGCCAGCTCACTTGGCTAGCAATCTTGAAGAAGAAGGATGTTCTCCTGCTGTCTGCCAAGATCCCGGGACTCAGGTCTCAGGAGATCCCGCAGTGGTCGCTGGGTCAGGGCTCACCCCCTACTTTGGCGCCTCAGGGAATTCTTCCGAAGGCACACAAATGGCACAAATACTGCACCACAGCAAATGAACTCTGCCCAGGTAATTTATCTCACTGTCATCCCAGCCGACCCTAGAGCCCTCTCAATTCCCAGGTGTCCTGTTCACAGTAATTCTGTGCACTTTTCACTTCACTTGATCACACTGAGTCCATTTTTCAAGGGTCTTACCACCTCACCTCTCAATTACCTCCCCTTGATCCCTCCTCAGGAGGAAAAGGAGCCAGTCCCAGCCCAGGACGTGCCCCATACAGTGAGCACACTGCAGCCAGGCATGCTGGAGAAGATGGTAAACCTCCTGGTTCCTCAACACCAGAAGGAGGATCCCTTCTTCGTGCCAGCCTTCCTGTTCACTTATAGGAAGTTCACCACCACAGACCAAGTGTTGGACCTTCTGCTGAACAGGTGAATGCCCCATCCAAACCAAAGTCATGTCACCACCCTCCTGGCTAGAGCTAGAAAATTCTGTACTCTGTTTGCTTCAAACTGATCTTCACAACCAAAAGTGGGCTGAGACCAGGCAGCACCTTCCCAAGCTTGTTCCACTGATGTGTGGGATGCCCAACACCAGGGGCTCTTTGGAGCGATCACTTTACTTCCTTAAATGAAGGACTCACACTATGGAAACCTGTATTTGAAGCCCTCTGAAATGTTTCCCATAAGTTAACAAGGCTCCCAAAACAATTCCAAAAAAGCCATCAGGAATGAATCACTGCACAAACATGTGAACCATGTACTTTGGAGAGGCACATTCAAGCCCCTACATTTAAAATTCCAGGAAGGGGGCCAGGCACTGTGGCTCACGCCTGTAATCCTAAGTACTTGGGAGGCTGAGATCTGAGGATTGAGGTTCAAAGCTAGCCCAGGCAGGAAAGACCTTGAGCCTCCTATCTCCACTTAACCACTAGAAAACCGGAAGTGGTGCTATACTTCAAGTGATAGAGCACTCACCTTGAGCTGAAGAGCTAAGGGACAGCGCCAAGGCCAGAGTTCAAGCGCCAGGACCAACAAAAATAAACAAAAATTCCAGAAACTGTGCAGATAAATGTCCCCATCCTCCACCTGGACTTACCAGTGTAAATAGACCACCAGGGAGGTCAGACAAAGAGGACACTGAAAACATGACTTCCTCCTCTCTTCCCACAGACATTCACATTTCCATCCAAACTGTGAAGAGGATGAAGAAGTAAAGAAGTGAGTGGAATCTGGGACAAACAGAAGGGCTCTCTTTGAAGAGTGAGATAAATGTTAGGGTTTGGGCTACAAGGTAGGAAATGCCACTTAGTCCCTCACTTGTGATCAAGACTGAGGCTTCATCTAAAGGCATGGGAAAGAAATGAGTGAAATATCCTGGTCTACTAGAGATGAGAGGGGAAATGAGGACTCCAAGACCCATGGAGAACCAATGCTATACAATCCAATCCTAGCAGGGCCTCTAGTGAGTGCCACAGGGCAACTGTAGAGATCCTTCTCCTCATGGGACTCCTCCCACTTCCCAACATGCAAGTCTGTCTGTGAGGTGGGAGGTGTTTGCATGGGAGCTCTCCCAGCAAGGGACTGTGCAAGAGCTCAGGAAGGAGACCGCAGCTCTCATTCTGCTTTCTATCCAACTGCACACAGAACCCTGTGTTCCATGCTTGCCATGTGGCTGGACAAGTACCCTGAGGATTTCTGCCAGTCCAAGGACCTGGCCAACCTGAATAAGCTGATGGCCTACGTGCTGCTCCACATGCCCTCCTCAGACCTGGCAGTCCGTGGACACCTCCTCCTCACCCAACTGAAGGAAAAGGACAACAAGGAGGCAGACAAAAAGACAGAGGAGTCCACAGGTAGATACCTGAGAACATGGGAGTAGGGATGGACACTGGTGTCCAATGGGATGAGAATCCCGGATGGTGATTGGCCAGGTTACCCTAGTGAAACCCAGTCTGGAAGATGTCCTGTGATGGGGATTCTTCTAGAGCTCCCTCCATTAACAGTGCATATACTTCCATCCTTAGATTTGGGGCTGCATACAGCACCTGCTCCTGAGATCAAGGCAGAGGATCCATCCATGACGGCAGCAGATGTGGTACTGGAATCAACAGCTTCACCAGTTGCAGAAGATGATCAAGGCCTCCACAGGACTGTGTTACCCACCTCGTGGGAGTGCAGTATGTGTCCTCTGTCTAAGGAGCACAACATCTTCTGCCTTCTGTAGGTTTCCAACTGGTTCTGGTCACTCACCTGAAATACAAAACTCCCAGTTATAAAGGCAGGGGGTAACATTCCTATCATTGCCAGTTGATATTCACCTTGTGCTGCCTAAACTCTGTCCAATCAACCTATGTTGTATTTGGGACGGATAGCATTATATCCACAGGGCTTCTCTTGCTGTGTTTTCTGTGGCACATTAGCCACTAGTGGACTTTCTATTGTCCACCTGACAGCAGCTTCCTTCCCTTTCTTCCTTTGTCAAGGGAAATATGTTTTGGTTTTTATATTTATTGCAGTGTTGGTCATTATTTTGATGGTTGATTTTAATAAAAATGTCACTGTTTTTTCTAAGAGGTACATGTTTGGAGTATTAAATCACTTGTCCATTTCATACCCCAACATAATGTCTAAGTACACTGGCAATCTCCTAGTAGGGCACATGTAGAATATCTAAGTCCCAAGTAGAACAAGTGAACTCTAGTATGCGAGATAGAAGCTGATGGACTCACAGCGGTCAGTGAATGACCAAGCAGAAAACAGATGCAGGTATATGGTAATATCGGGTCCCTAATGTTTGGGCACACATGAGGTATCACAGCACAAGACATAAGACCTAGAATGCTGACCTTGTTTTTCTTGTTTCTCTCCATTGTCTCCAATTGAGACAGCTTGGTAGATCCTAACATCTTCTTGTCCTGAGTAGCCAGCATGACAAGCATGAAACACCAGGGCCCACACACTTTGTTTTTATTTATACGTAATTGACAAAGACAGGCATGGTTTCAAGGGGAAAACTAACCACTGGCTTATCAAATTATAGCTCCCCTGTACAAAACCTTGATAATAAAATTCTTTAAAAAAGAGAGAGATGGGGCTGGGAAGGTGGCTCAGTTGTCGAGTGCTTGCCTTCCATGCATGAGATCCTGACTTAGATTCCTCAGAATCACATAAGCAGAAAAAATCCAGAAGTGGTGCTGTGGCTTGAGTAGCAGACCACTATCCTTGAGCTGAAGAACTGAGGGACAGCGCCCAGCCCCAGAGTTCAGCCCCCACAACTGACAAAAAAAAGAAAGAGAGAGACAGACACACAGAGACAGAGACAGAGAGAGACACAGAGGAGGGCACTGGGTATGTGGCTTAGTGGCAGAGTGCATAACGCTCTGGGTTCAGTTCCTCAGTACCACATACACAGAAAAAGCTGGAAGTGGTGCCCTGGCTCAAGTGGTAGAGTGCTAATCTTGAGCAAAAGAAGCTCAGGGATAGTGCCCAGGCCAAGAGTTCATGCCCCAGCACTGGCACATAAAAGGACACATATACAAACATAATTCACACACAAGCATGTTTATAAGCAACATACTACAGTACCTCACCAGAAATTAGTAGAATGGGGCTCGCTTCAGCAGCACACAATATGAATTGGAGTGACACAGAGAAGACTAGCCTTGTTCCTGCACAAGAAAGACGTACAAGTTCCTGAAGTGGTCTCTGTGTTTAAGAATGATAAAGTACCATTCCTAAAAGCTTCTAAAATGGAATGGTAACCATCACCACTATTTTAGGAAAATACATTATGGTCCTTTTACATAGTAGAACACGGTATGTGTGAACACAAAAGTTTAATTAAAAATAGCCATGTGCCAATAGAGCCATTGCAAATATGCCAGCAAGAAAGAACTATTCCACAAAAAACAACACGGAGGGGAAAACACCTGGTTGAGGTTTGCACAAGACCTACATGATGTAGGTTTCAGTAGCCTGAGACCCACATGCCCAGGTCAACATGAATCCCGCCCCGCGCCCTCCCTGCAGGCAGAGGCCACCGCAGCCAAATGCGCCCGCTCCGTGCGGTAACCGGTAACCGCACCCGACCCCTGGCCACCCCAGCTCCGTCTTGCCCCTTGTGCTCGGCCGCCCCACCTTCCCGCAGCCAGGCCCCGGAGCCAGGCAGCCCCGCGCCGCGTCCCCCGCGGGTCCTCACGGGACGCCGCGCCCCGCACCGCGGCAAGCGGCGGCAGAGTGCCGCAAGCAGCAGCGCCTGCGCGGCCGCGGCCCCGCCTCGCCCAGCGTCCGCTCCGACCCAGGCCCGGCGGCCTCCGCCAACACGCCTGGATCGCGGGCCGGGCAGCGGTGCGGCCTCCCGAGCCCCCCGCGAGGCCCATCGGGGTCTCCGGAACACAGACCTCGGCCCCGAGACCCCCCGGCCACGCCCGTACGGCCAAGTCCTCCCGCCATGGGCACCTCAGGAGCAACAGCCACGGATCCGCAGGCTGAGCTCAAGGCCCCGGCCCAGCTAACCTTGCCCGCTCTGCGGCATCCCTGCCGCCGATCAGAACCGGAAATCCGCCATGTCTAGACACCACTGCTTCCGGCACAGGTTCCGCGGCAGCTCAGCCACGCTGCGTGTTGCCTGCGCATGCGCACCAAATGCACAGGCTTGGTTTTTATTTTCCCCGGACACTGGGCCTGCATAGGGACACGAGTAGGTGTTATTCAACTGAGTATTAACCTTCATGCAGATCTAAGTTAACTCACAGACCCAGGCTCCCTCCAAATGGTAATTATCAGGATGGACTCCGAGACTCTTATCTCCAGTGAACCAGGAGAAAACCAGAAATGGTACAGTGCATCAAAGTGGCAGAGCCCTAGCCTTGGGCAAAAGAGCTCAGGAACATTGGTCAGGACAAGAGTTCAAGCCCCAAGACTGAGAAAAATTAATGTAAATCAATAAAAATGACAATATCTGCCTTTCATATGGAGCTGAGACTTTCCCTGGATCTTCACCTTCCAGACAAAGAAGCCTCCACATGCAGATGAAACAACTACTTAAAACAATATCAAGACATTCTCACTGTATTCCTCCTGTGCTTTCTAAGATCCTTAGCCAACAAAGAATATTGGGATAAATGTGACTCATGTGGGACAAACCTTGGTTCTGTGTTTACTAAAATTGGAGCTAGAAGTCAGTCTCTAGGTGATGGTCCCTCTTCTACTAATGCTCAAGTCTAACCCCCTGCCAACTGAGCCACAGCTTCACTTCCAGCTCTTTTGTGCTGAGAGAAAAAACTCTCTTCAACTCTTGTCTGGGATGGCTTATAATTGTAATACTCAGATTTTAGTCTTCTGAGTAGCCAGGGTTACATACATCAGCTACCAGTGACCAGTTCTAGTGAAACAAGTGGCAATTACTTTTTTTATCCTTTCTTCTGAAGTTTGTGCACTGACCTCATTAGAATTAATGACTATTTCATAAGTTAAAATGGCAACATGACAATGAGATACACAAACCATAATCACTAGATATTCTAATTCAAATAACTATTAGAGGGGCTGGGAAGGTGGCTCAGTGGTAGATCGCTTGCCTTGCATGCCTGAGGCCCTGGGTTCAATTCCTCAGCACCACATAAAGAAAAAAGCCGGAAGTGGCACTGTGGCTCAAGTGGTAGAGCGTTGGCCTTGAGCTGAGGAGCTGAGGGACAGCACCCAGGCCCAGAGTTCAGGCCCCAGGACCGGACCCAAAAAAAAAGAAAAACAAATAACTATTAGATGAACAATCTGGAAAAACTAGTATATGTTATTAACAAACATTTGTCAAACCAAGTATGACATAGGCCTCTAATTTCATTGGGCAAAGTCAGTAAAGAATAATTTGAAGTGCTGGGTGCTGGTGGCTCACGCCTGTAATCCTAGCTACTCAGGAGGCTGAGATCTGAGAATCGTGGTTCAAAGCCAGCCCAGGCAGGAGAGACCGTGAGACTCCTATCTCCAATAAACCACCAGAAAACCGGAAGTGGCACTGTAGCTCAAGTGGTAGAGCGCTCACCTTGAGCTGAAGAGCTGAGGGACAGCGCCCAGGCCCAGAGTTCAAGCCCCACGACCACAAAAAAAAAAAGAATAATTTGAACCCAGGAATCAAAGTATCAGATCACATTCTGCATTCATATGGTGAAAAATACTATTATTTTGTGGAACTGAGAACTAGAGAAGACTGTAATGGGAACAAGATGTCCTGTCAACTTTTCTGCCTCTTCGACTACATGATCCAGCATATTCAATAGAACTTGAAATGTCAGTGGAAAATAGCAATGCTGCTGAGCATCTCTAGCAAACCCATCATAGATCTGGCCCTTACTATATTAGAGTAGATCCCTGTCCATCTTCTTTGAGCAAATGACATTTGTACTGAAATTGGGCTTTAGCAGAGAACAAATGCTTACACTTGGCTGCCAATTAACTATATGGCCTGAGAAGCCCATGGTGAGTTTGGTGATATCTGATAATCTTAAGCTAGAAATTTAGGCACAAAAAGCCATACTCCATGATTAAGTGGAAGTGATATAAAGAAGACTGGGCTCAGGACATGAAGATAAAGAAAATAGTTCTCATTCTATCTTTCCTAGTTTCACCAGTGGCCGTACAAGGAGTTCCTTTCAAAACAATTACACACACAGACACGTTCATACAGGTTTACAAATATCTGTACTTGATGTGTAATCATCTCCTGCAAGTGGACAGCAGGAGGACTCTCTCTCCTCTTCAGATACCTTTTGTAAGTGTATTCACCCCCACTTTGGGTTGACAGCCCTCGCCCTAGGTCCTTCGCAAGCCAGGCTAGGCCATAGTTGTCTATTCCCACCGGCCCTGGCTGCATCAGCAACAGAGTCCGGATACTAGTCTTGGTCTCACACTGGTTCTAGTGTTGATTGTAAGGTGCCAATATAGAATGTATTGTCTCTGCTCCAAGATGTTTCCTCTGGCTACATGACAGCTATAGGATACATTGGTTTTGTTACATGCTAGATATAGAATGTATTGTGTCTGTAATGGATGATGTTTTCCCTGGCTGCTCAGGACAGCTATAGAATGTCCTGCCCTGGCTGTTGGATATCTCCAGTGTCCCATCTGTGACTACAAAGATTTCCTGCCCCAGCCTCTTCTTCTGCCCTCAGACTGCTGACACTGTATCTACCCCTAGGACTGCAAGAGCAGTTTGCTACTCTCTATTCTATGAGAACCTGTCAGCCTCTAGCTGACATTAAACACTTCTTTCTTTAACGTGACTGTGTGTCCCAGTTTTCTGGATCATTGCTTACAACTTTGAATGCAGAGATGAACACAAATCCACCCAGGTCGACACAAGCTATATACATGCATTTAGCTGCTTATTTGCTTAAAAAAATAATGACAGTCTTGCCTAGCAAGTGCAAGGTGCTTGATTTGACATTTAGAACAAGTTTTTGTTTTTTGTTGTTTTTTTTTTTTTTTGTCTGTCGTGGGGCTTGAACTCTGGGCCTGGGCGCTGTCCCTCAGTTCTTCAGCTCAAGGCGAGCACTCTACCACTTGAGCTACAGCACCACTTCCAGTTTTCTGGTGGTTTATTGGAGATAAGAGTCTCACAGTCTTTCCTGCCCAGGCTGGCTTTCAACCGCGATCCTCAGATCTCAGCCTCAGCCTCCTGAGTAGCTAGGATTACAAGCGTGAGCCACTAGCTCCCGGCTACAGAACAAGTTTTAAACAAAGAGCAAAGGTGGGCTAGGAATGTGGCTTAGTGGTAGAGTGCTTGCCTAACATTCATGAAGCTCTGGGTACCACATGAACAGAAAAAAGCAAGGAAGTGGTGCTATGGCTCAAGTGGTAGAGTGCTTGCCTTGAGCAAAAAGCTCAGCTCAGGTACAGTGCCCAGGCCCTGAGTTCAAGTCCCAGGACTGGCAAAAAAAGAGCAAAGGTAATCCTGGCACAGATGCCTCACACCTGTAATCTAGGCTACTCAGGAAGTTGAGACATGGGATGGCGGTTCAAATTCAATCTGGGAAGGAAGTCAACGAGACTCTTATCTCCAACCAACCACCAAACAAAAGCCAAAATTGGAGTTGTGACTCAAGTAAGTAGAGTGCTAGAGCATAATCCCTGATCACAAAAGCTCAGGGATTGCCCCCAGGCCCTGAGTTCAAGCCTCAGGAGCAGCAACCCCCTTTACCCCAAAAGACTGAAGGGCTGGGAAATGGTGACTCCCACCAGTAATCCTAGCTACTTAGGAGGGTGGCATGTGAGGATCAGGATTCAAAGCCAGCCCAGCCAGGAAACTCTGTGAGATTCTTATCTCTCATTACCAGGAAACAGTAAATGGTGCTGTGGCTTAAAAGTTGTAGAGGGGCTGGGAAGGTGGCTCAGTGATATAGTGCTTACCTCACAAGCATGAGGCCCTGGGTTCGATTCTTCAGCACCACATAAGCAGAAAAAGCTGGAAGTGGTGCTATGGTTCAAGTGGTAGAGTGCTCACTTTGAGCCGAAATGCTGAGGCACAGCGCATAGGCCCAGAGTTCAGGCCCCATGACCAACCAAAAAAAAAAGTTGTAGAGTGCTAGCCTTGAGCAAAAGAGCTCAGGGACAGTGATTAGGCTTGAGTTAAGCCCCACAACTAACAAAAAGAAAAAAAGAAAAACTGCATTGCTAGTAGATAGTTGAAAATATTAACTATGATTTTTTTGTTTGGGTATGGGTACTGGTCCTTGAACTCAGAACCTAGACATTGACTTTTAGCTTTCTTTGCTCAAGGCTAGTGCTCTAGCACTTGATCAACAGCTCCACTTCTGGATTTTAGTGATGAATTGGAGATAATAAACCCAGATATTCCTGTATGCACTGACTTTAGTCTGTGATCCTCAGATCTTATCTGATTAGTCACATATGATTTTTAATCACTTGCAAAGTCAGGAATGTAATTATTCCTGAAATTTTATTCCTGAATAATAGAAGTGTAAGGATATTTCTACATGCTTAACTCCCTTAATCATTACCATTATATTTTGTCATCTCTAAAACCAAGCATTACATGGGAAGAAAGAATAGTGGATAGAGAATAGGTAATTAACAGATGTTGACTTATACTAAAAAGAATATATAATCTGGTACATTTAATTCACAACTATCTCAAATTTTTCTGCAAAGGACAAGTGTTTTGTTCTTTTTTTCATACTAGTCCTGGAGCCTAAACTCGGCCTAGGAGGCTCTTCCTGAGTTTTTTTTTCCTCAAAGCTAACACACTTGCACTTGAGATACATCTCATTTCTTACATTTTGCTGGTTAATTGGAGATAAAGAGTCTCACAGACTTTCCAGTCTGCTGTGGCTTTCAATGGTGAGTATCAGATATCAGCCTCCTGAGTGACTAGGATTAGTCGTGAGCTATGGGTGTCCAGCTTACAGGACAACCATGTTAGGAGCCAAACATTCCAGACAGTTAAGACTGATTATTCCCTCCTTCTTTTTAGCATTGGCCATCTTTGAGTGTAAAGCAAGAAGCAGGTCCTAAACCTCAGTTATGCCATCATGGGCTCAAGACAAATGTGAAGACATTT